CCTTTTTTTTTTTTTTTTTTTTTTTTTTTTTTTTAAAGGAATTTTTACGATGTTCAATAATTTTTTTTACATTTTTTGTGCTTAAACTATCATTTGCTTGAAATATTTTTATTAAGTAAATCTAAAAATTTAAAAACTTAACAGGTAACAATTCTCTCAGCGAATCAAAGGTTAAAGTTATGAAATCAAGATCTAAGCAAGTTAATTTCATATTTTGCTGTAACAACTAATAAATGCAATTTACCGTAAAAAATACCGACGACATTTACCATATTAAAGAGAGATGGGCGTCGTCTTTGAAACATTTGAAACTTTAAAATAATGAAAAATTTTACGAATCATTTATATTGTGAGCAGTAACGCGAGTTTTTTTTTTCTTTAACTGTTAAATCAGAATACAACGATAGTTACGATTCTTTACACTTCATGAACGCATTTTATTTAATTGGACTCTAAATCGCTCTCATGTATTTGCGTACATATACATTGTAGTGGTATGTATTTTTAAATTCCATACATGTATGTACATCTACACAGGTGCACGTAAATAAAAAAATCGATTTTTATACATTTTCTACACGTATAATGATGAATTCTGCATATTTCTCTGACATTCTTTTGTTGAATATGTATGTTTCCACACAATAATTATTAAAATTTTTCAATCACATTCAAAAGAAAATATATGGGAAAATCCATTAAGAACATCCCTTTTTTGTCCTCGGTTTTTAAATAAAAATTTTTTTTGTGGCACACCTTCGAAATGGGGCTAATTTTGCTCTCATGTCTAATCGTAAACACGGGTTTCAGTGAGGGTGACACCCTTTTTCCGTGATTTACTTGTTAAAATTATATCTATATGTGTATATGATACGTGTAGAGCACGTAAATCGTGGAAAAACGTTGTCACCATGACTGAAACCCATGATTTTTTTCCTCATAGTACGTGACGTTACGAGTCAAATAAGTCCCATCTCGAAAAAAATTTTTATCAAAAAATTGTAGACAAAAAGTGGATATATTTTTTGTGGATTTCCTCATATCTATACGTGTGCAGACAATAATATAATTATAAAAGTTGTACAATGACAAGTCACCACGTCATACAGTCAGAATAACTACATTAATTTTTAAAATACGAGAAAAAAAATACGTTTGAACTCACACGTATACACCATTTCGCACGATTTTCCTTTTAACAATATTTTAAACATCTCGTAACAATATCCAACGCTAACGTATTAAACAAAGTTTTTTAAATGTCTAGTTATAATGATCAAAAACATAACTATATCGCAGAACTCAAATGTTGGAACTGAAGCTTACAAAAATCAAAATGTTCAACATTTTATTGTATTACTACAATTTAGGGTCAAGTATACTTGTAAAAGTCCATCCATCACGATATTTATAAGTGTTATGACTTACTTAGTTTAGCATACCTAGATAAGTTTGTGTGACATTATGCGTTTCTTACATCGATTCTATAGTAACCGCGTGGGCATTATATAGAGCTGCTCCGCAAAAAAAAAAAAAAAAAAAAATACTTTCGCTCTGATATATCAACAATAAAAATTGTTTTCGAGCATTAATTGTCGCCTTGCTGTTAAAAGCTTTCAAAAATTTTTCATTAAATTCGAGAAAAATTATTGTCCTTACATTTACGTATTATTATTGTACGATTCTTTCACTTACATGCTACTCCCTTACTCAAAGTGAACAGACAATAAATATGATCTCTGTGGTCACGGTGTATATTATTATTTTTTTTTTTTTAATTTAAAAGTTTCCGACTTACAATGTACATATCATACAACAACATAAACAGGCGCCATAGGCGTGAGAATATTAAAAGTATGGTCACACGAGAATCGAAGATTACAATATACTCGCATATACTGTACGGTTTCTTAATTGCCTTATTTAAAACAAAAAAAAAAAAAAACAGTTTATTGTTATCCACAAAAATTGAATATAAAACTTCATGCAATGTTAACCAGATATTGTTTTATAACATACATACGTCGTATCGTGTTCATGTATATTTTATTTTTGCACAAGTTACATTATATAGCTTTTTATAAAAAAAAAAAAGTTTGTTTAGCTTGGTGCCAAACAAAATTATGTAGTGTTACTGTCAAACGGTTTTGAAAAATTACATTTTTTATTGTGAAAAATGTTTGAATTCACTACATTTTATAATTAAGTGAAATTGAGTACTCGTCTAATAGAAATTTTTTGTTATAGCTAAACGTATAAACGAAACAACACTATTTCATTGGGATATGTGTGCGTTGCAATCATGAAGTGCTATTAACACATGGCTTTCCTTTTAGGTAGTTTTTTAAAATTGATTTTAACACTCGTTAGTGTTGATAGTACCTTTTACGTGGTATTGTTTCGTTTTTTTCAAGTTTTTTTTTTTCGATTTGAGCTGTACCAAGAGAAATAACACATTAAAGTTTCGGAGATAAAAACAGACACTCGAGCATAATTGAAAAATTTTTCAAGAACACTGAATTATTGTTGTAAATTCATGCATTTTATAACATTTATTATCAATGCGAGAAATTACATGGTACAGCTTTTGCGGTCGGAGGAAACATCTTGAGCTTCGTATTTATTGGAAAAATGAGTTTTTTTATTTTACGTTATTTATCTATCATCTTAATAATGATGGGAACTCATTGCATAAGAACTTGGATAAAGCGGCTCCAAAGCAAGTGGAAAAAACAGAGTGTATCATAGTTAGTTTTTATAATTAAATATTCGAATTGTATCAGCGTTTCTTTTACGGAAATTTTTTTACCTATTTACAAAAATTTTGCTTATTTCAGCTCATACATCTTACAAACAATTTTACAATGATTAAATTTTATACCAAACTAATTTATATTCATGGTATTACTTAATGTGTAACGGTAATAAAATAGCTGTTTCAGTAATAAAGGAAATGTGAACGTTACTTTCATCGTTATTTAATGTTGTTTTGAGGAACCTCAAAATAATTTGAGTCCTTAACTCTGTAATTTTCTTAAAATATTTGACTTTTCACACACATCAATTTTTATCGTCTTCCAACTTTGTAATAGTTTCCTCTCGCTTTTTATGTAAAACTTGAAGTACATGTAGATAATTTTTTCGTTGAATATTATCAAGCTCGCGTGGATGAGAAATTGAGCGACTTTTACAATTACCCTAGAGTTTGATATTGCAAATATTACAGAGATCAAATTTTGGTTTTCAAAAAATTTTATCGTATACTTTTGCGCAAAATTATTACAGAATTTATTTGATCCAAATTACAGATTTAAAAAAAAAAAAAAAAAACTCCATGTCTCCGAATGACATCATTCACGCGTACTCATCATTTTTCCCTCGCATTTCCTCGAACAAGAGATATTGTTTTGATGAAATGCAGATTTTTTTATAATACAACCATCACTCGCTCCAAGAAATATTTTTATACGTCATTCGTTAGATTTGTAAACTATACCTACTCGTTTGGTATCATATATCGCTTTTATCTGTCATGTGATACGATAAAACGAGAAAATGATCTCTGTTAGATAGTTGCATATGTATTCGTCACACGTAAAATTGCACAATTATTTTCACTCTTTTACATCTTCGTTTCCCAGCAAACAAGCACATGTACTTTATTTATTATTATTATCAATTAACGAGGTTACGGGCCTTATTTTGTTAAGTACTTCAAAGATTTTCAATTCGTATTGTTCTACAAGCCATTTAGGAGTANACAAAATGACAAGTAGTTTGGAAAATAGGTAAAGATAAAAAAAAAAAAAAAAAAAAAAACTCCAATCAAATAACTACATATAGCCTATCAAGTTTACTGCCAATGATGATACTGTGCCAATTGGAAAAAAAAAAATTTGTCACCCGCTCGTACTTTCTATTCCGACATTTTTATCGTCAAAACGTTTCACGCCGATTTTACTTATTATTGTCAAATGGCAACGCCTCCCTCGCTCACATCCATACACATGTACATCTGTACAATATACGCGTGTAATTTTTGTTTTTCCTGCAACGTATGTAATAGAGATGTATATATATATATTGTACCTATATAATATTGACCTTTTCTATATGTATCTATGTTTATTTACTCTTCGTTGCGACGTCCGGCCTCGGCAAGTATCATTCGCGGTTGAGTCAGCCCGCCCGTCGTTCATCTGAGGGGAGCCGCGACGGCAAGAAGGACAAAAAGGAGAGCGATCGAGGCGGCGACCGAGCCACCTCCGGACTCGGCTTTCGCCACGTGGCCCTGCTCCACCACGTTGATTTTCCACCCCAGGTTCCTGTGCGTGTAACACTGCGACAACGAAGGAAAAACAATAAAATCAAACGCGGCATCTCCCCCTCCCCCCTCCAAAGAGAGTGTATAATATGTTATAATATATACGAACCTGGTAGTAGACGAGGTCGGGGGTGTCCTCCTCGACGTACCAGACGAGTTTACCCGGCTCGCCCTCCTCGCAGTCGAGCTTCAGGGTGGCGAAGAACTCCTCGAAGGTCTCGGTCTTGGCGCTCTGGTCCGTCCTCTTGTGGCCGTACTCGCAGTACCGGCCCACGGCCGTTGGGTACGGGTAGTTGTTCCGGTCGTAGGCCACCCCGGCGAAGACGCGCTGGTGGCGCTGTTGTTCCTCGGTCAGTTGGCTGAAGCCCCCCTCGGGGCTGTCGGTTATGTAGAACGGGTGGTACCTTCGACGAAGCGAGGATTATTATGTATATATATAACTGAAACCCATGATTTTTTTCCTCATAGTACGTGACGTTACGAGTCAAATAAGTCCCATCTCGAAAAAAATTTTTATCAAAAAATTGTAGACAAAAAGTGGATATATTTTTTGTGGATTTCCTCATATCTATACGTGTGCAGACAATAATATAATTATAAAAGTTGTACAATGACAAGTCACCACGTCATACAGTCAGAATAACTACATTAATTTTTAAAATACGAGAAAAAAAATACGTTTGAACTCACACGTATACACCATTTCGCACGATTTTCCTTTTAACAATATTTTAAACATCTCGTAACAATATCCAACGCTAACGTATTAAACAAAGTTTTTTAAATGTCTAGTTATAATGATCAAAAACATAACTATATCGCAGAACTCAAATGTTGGAACTGAAGCTTACAAAAATCAAAATGTTCAACATTTTATTGTATTACTACAATTTAGGGTCAAGTATACTTGTAAAAGTCCATCCATCACGATATTTATAAGTGTTATGACTTACTTAGTTTAGCATACCTAGATAAGTTTGTGTGACATTATGCGTTTCTTACATCGATTCTATAGTAACCGCGTGGGCATTATATAGAGCTGCTCCGCAAAACTAGTAAAAAACTTACATCCGACNCGTGAAAGGATGACACGCAGCTTGATGCACTTGCGTGAGTTTATAATGACGTCGTCACTCCTAAATCAAGGAAGTGGCACTTACACGTGCTTGTACACACACGCTTCCTCTCCTGTTTGACGCATATCTTTTGCTTGCTCTACCTCGTAATTCTATTCGCTTCCATTTCTCTTTTGGTAATCAAATTCAATGAGAGCATTTCTCGTTTGGTTGTTGCTCGTAGGTGGTAATGAACATCGTTAATTCTTTTGCTCTTTCTGCGAGGCTTATTATGTTGAAAAGTCTTTGATTGATCGATTATATTAATTGTTACGCCAGGAGGATGCGACCAAGAGGTGTATCATTTGCTTATAGCCGTGACGTTGGATGGTATCGTGCAAGCTTTAGTATCCATCTCCTCTCACTACCACCCACCACCCGGTCGGGCAATGTTACGAGCTCGAGTGGCCCAGTAGTCCTCTCTCCCACTACCTTCCTTGGAGAGCTGGAGGGTGACCCAGAACCTTCATAGTTTGGGAAAAATTGTTGGCTTATGTACGTGAAAGACTCATTTCCACTGTCGGGACGCAATGAGTCTACGAGATAGTGGAGTTGATGATCTTTCAACAAACAGCATTAGAAAAGAGCTAGTAAATTCTTATCTTGGCCCACGGGTCCATACTCTCTGATGTTGAATCAGTCAAATTTTACTGCGAATCAGTAAAATGTCGTTTACTTATCACAATAAGTAAACGACTTTTCACTTATAATTAGTCAATATTGACTAATTCGACTGATCTAACTTTAGAGAGTATACAGATTATTTACGTCATGTAGAGAGGGAGTGTATTCTCTCATTTTTATCTCTACTTTGTGTATAAAATATGTGGATATAACTTGATCATATCTTTTAATTTTGTCTAATTACTGTGGACAGATAAAAACAAGAAATGGTCACTGTCTCAACATCACAGCAATAGGCCAGTGCGTGGTAAGGATTTTTAGAGATTATTTGTCTCGTCTTAAGAAATCTCACGAATTTTTTTTCCCAATATTTCTCGACAATTTTTTGGGATAGTTGGGATTCATTGTTTTGCCGTATGAAATTTCGCTACAGCCAGGAATTTCGATTGCTCCCAGAGAGTTTTTTTTTAAAAAGATTATTACGAATAATTATTGATTATGGTATTCCATTTCAGTCGAAATTGGAAATTTCAACTTCATTGGCATTATTTGAGTCAACCTAAACTTGACACATAAAATGTGCGTTGACCAGAAAACAAAAATGTAATTACTTTAAATAACGATTGTTTACTTCTAAACTTGAATTTGTTTCATAACAATTTTTTTTCTAATACCTAATTTCGCCTCCCACTCTCCTTTACACTCTCTCGATATTTGAATTGGGATGGCCTGGTATCATCCCAAATAATGTCTCACATATTCCATCGACTGTGTTTCCTCACAAATGTGTGAAACAAAAAAAATGAAGTCGATGGATAGTCGAAACTTGTCTAGAATATTCATCAACGATCCCCTTGAACCTAACGGTAAACACGCGGAGCTTTCGAAAAAGCGCGTCCAGTCTGCGCCCTCTTTGACTACAAGAAGCCCTCGATGGGGGGAAAAAATGAGGCAAATTTGTCACCAGAATAAAAAAAAAAAAAAAAAAAAAGGAAGGAAGGAAGGATCGCAATCTTTCAAGATTACAAGGGTTACGTCAGCGATCGATTGCGTGGATGCCGATGCTTTAAGCCATCAAGCCGATCAATCTCGACAATGGAACATTTCTTTTTTTTTTTTTTTTTTTTTTTCCTTGTTTCGCGAAAGGTTTTTCATCAAAATCGACCGAGTAGCTAGACTCTTTCCTTTCTGTTGGGAGGGAGAGGGGAAAAAAAAAAAATCGGCGCGTGTAAGCTCACCCGACGTAACTCCGTTGTTCCTCTTGCCAGTGATGAGCACCGCGTCGTTTTTCCCCCCTATCCTGTGGTCAGGGCAGACGCCCTTGACGCCGTTGCACTGCGAGTACTCGGACATGTAGTAATCCTCGGCTATGAATTTCTTGGTCTCCTTGTTGTAGCCGATGACGACCACGTCGGCGCCGATCATCTCGGCCCTGCCGTCCACCCCCGATATCCCAAACGCGACGTATTGGTCCTCGCGTATGTACGCCGACACGCGGATCTGGACGTCGTCGTCCATCATTTTCCATTGCACCTGCACCCGGCCGTCCAGCAGTTCGATGCAGTTGTCGAGATCCGGTGCGGCTGTGCTGCTCGTCTATTTTTTTTTTTTTTTTTTTTTTTTTTTTTTTTTTTTTTTTTTTTTTTTTTTTTTTTTTTTTTTTTTTTTTTTTTTTTTTTTTTTT